TTAGTTTCTATTTTAATGATAGTTTATTATCATTGTGCATGCCTTGAATATTATGATTAATATAGAGAAAAGTAACATTAAATCCTAGATCTAAAACAGAGTAAGTAACAGTATATCTTGTTCATTTATAATCTTTAGTGAATTGTAAAAGTAGTGAGTACAAGTTTGGACTGAATCCCCTGTGTTCTGTTTCACACATGCGCAGGAACACTGAACTGTCCTGTATTCACGCTCTATTTCGGTAGTAAATCACAGAACTGAAGTGTGTGATGGGGTGTCAAGTTGGGAAAGTCTACTGAACAGCTAAGATAGCTCAGTTTAGAATCTGTAGTCGTTTGTCAAATGGGGAAGCAGTGAAAGAGAACTGCTGCTGCTGCTGCTGGACACAACTGCAGTCCCCTCCACGAGGGAAAGAGCTTGCTGTGCAGGAACCAGAGCAGCCTGAGGAAGCAATACCACGTCACATGGTTTACACTGACCTCAGCTTAAGTGACTCTGCTAGATAAAAGCTATGCAAAACAGTGGGAGTCTGCTGGGTAAAAAATGCCTAAAAATCAGAATAAGAAGACAGTAACTGTCATCGAAAGGCAGGAACTATCTGTGTGTAGGGTTAGCACTCGGAGATTCTAGCTGAAAGACTTGAAGACGCCTGACAGCACTCAAGAGAGAGAAAGCTCATCTGAGTACACCAAAGAACCTTCTTTGCAGCTCCTATTCCCACTGCCAAAACCTGCAAGTTTCAGTAGAGTAGCTGTGGGGGAAGGAAGAGAAGAGTAACTTGGAGGGAAGGACCATCACCCTGCTGATGGAGCTGGGTTGTGAAAGACGTGTGGCTTCTTAATTAGGACTCAACTCGGAGACGTGTCTTGGAATGTACACTGTGATTTCTTAAAATTTAAAGAAACTGTGAGATTCTTTCTCTCCTTGATGCACAAACCCTTGGTCCTTCCGTAAGGGTTACTTATCAGCAGGATAGAAAGACACATTCCCATGAATATTAGGATGAATATAGGAGGCCAAAGAAAGAAAACTTTGTTTTCTATTTAAACTCTGAGATCTTAAAAGTCAACAGTACACTCTTCGATGATTATTATGTAAAATGTTATCATTTCATATTTTATTATCTATTTTACATTGATCAAATAAAATGAATTGAAATCATTTAATTTTATGCATAATTAACAATTGGGAGTTATATAGCTCTCATGTAAAGTAGCAAGAAAGGCGTTAGGATAAAACATTAACAAACTTGTTGAGACAGTGAAACCATATAATAAAATGTACTTTGCGTTAAATGTATCTGTATTCATTAATAATGAAACTGCTTTTTCAAAAATATTTGAAAAATAATAACACACATATAAAGAGATTTTTATATGAACGATAGGAGGCAGGAAAAAATCATCATAAGCTGAGATAGCCTCTCAACCTCTGCCATATTTCACCTTCAAACTTTTGCATCATTCTAAATTTCTATACATTAATTTAAAATACACTGCTCTATAGAATAATAGACACTACTGGGCAAGTCTTCCTGAAGTGGGAGTCTTCCTGGGGATGAATGGCAATGATGGTTAAGTGTTTTCAATATGCTGTATATCTGAATATACCTGTTGTACTTTTTGTAACAATTATCACAAAGTTGCAAGCTGAGCATTGTGTATGTTGCTTTTTTCCCACATTTGACCAGTATTTCAGGTATAACGATCCAAGCATTCTACTCAGGTCCTGTAAGGGTGACAATGATACATCAGATGGGCTTGAGGTTGGAGAAACACTTTACAGTGCACATAGTTTTGTCCAAAACATATATTTGCACTGTGACAGTGGAATTTTTAAAACAAGGAAAAAGAATGTCTTTTTTTCCAGTCTTTCGACTCCATGCTGTATCTCAAAGGGCTCACTTAACATAGTCAGGGTCACCAAGGGTAATCTGTCTTGTGAGTGGAGATCTTACTTAGGTGTTAAATTCCTTTGCCAGACAATACAACAGTCATAGAAATGACAAGTTAGCATACTCAGTCTCTGCTCATGCTCAAGGTGAGGGCAGCCACAGTGTGCACATGTTGCAAAAGGAATTTGAGGAGCTACCTTGGAAATCTATCCCACCCCCATCAGCGATATTGCCTTCTGATCACCAAGGGAGTTTAATATTTTCACCTATGATTATTCATAGACAGCTAATAATCTGTACCCTCTGGATATTGCTCCTCATAGATCTTATATGACATATGCAGCAAAATTAAATTAAAGACTCTTACTTTCAATAACTTTGTAAAAAAGGAGGGAATCCTAATTATATGTATATGGAAGTAAATACTGCAATGAAATAATATTGAAAATTTTTGCATGAATGCTTCAGTGTTTTTCCTTTAATCAACAAATACCTTATTGTTGAATAATTCCTAATCCTTCCTGTATGTCTATGTGAATGAAGAAGATATAGATACTTTGTACTAAATTGGTAGGATAATTTTAGGACACATATGAGATTCTGGTATCTAAACAGTTAACCAGAGGAAATGCTTCATTAGAAACCACTGTTAAAATAGAAAAACAATCTTAGAACTTATTTTTAAATTTCTGAAGAATTCAAAAAGTATTTGGAGGGCTGGAGAGATATTTCCGCTGCATAAGCACTTGCCTGGCAAGAGAATTTGATTGCTGGTACCACATACAAAAATGTATTTGTATAACTTCAAAATTAATCCTCAAAAATTGTAGATAATTGCATTAAGTTTAAAAACAATGGCAAGAAATAATTGTTATGTTAAAATAGTCCACTTTATTGCTAAGAATTAATGTGTACACTGTACTCATCCATATGTTTCATGGGTCTTTCTCATTCTGTTTCAAATATGTTACTCGTATAGTCTGAGAAGGTAACATAATTATATTCAAGCCTAAATCTTACACGTCAAAAAAGCAATAATTTTGCACATTTTTAGTATACTATTTCGTTCCTCTAGTTATGGATTTTCATCAAGAAACATGCATACATGTTATGTTTTCTGCTGGGGATCCTCAGGCAGGAGGCTCCAAAATCTGAGGTCAGTACAGACAATTTAGCAAGACTATGCTTCTAAATAACAGTGAAATAAGATATTTTTTAATGTCTGAGTATATTACCTCAGTGGTAAAGTGTTTGACCAGGATGAATTCAATTCTCAAAAATCACAAAAATATTTATATACATACTTATATGCATAAAATAAAAGCAATATGATATGAAGCAACTCAGCACGTATGTTAAAAGGAGTCTATTCTTATACAACAGTATTATGAATTTTACCGACTCATGTCTGAAAATTACAATTATTAGATTGCTCAGTGTTTTAGGTTTGTCAGAGCTGAATTTGGTGCTCCTTTTTTGTAATTAGCAGACTTCTGTTTTTTTTTTTTTTTTTTTTTTTAATACAGCCTCACAGTATGTTAGCTAATTCTACCAGGTAAATTCTGAAGGAAATGTTCACTGAAAAATCCATGCGTTGGATTGTAGGGTCAAGAGGTGCAAATTAAAACAACACTAAGACTGTATTTCACTCAAGACAGAATGGCTATCATTAAGAATCCAATCAACGACAAATTCTGGAGATGCTGTAGGGAAAAAGCAATCCTTCTCCCTGTTGGTGGGTGTGCAGAATGGTACAACCACTGTGGAGATCAGCTTGCAGATTCCTCAGAAAGCCAGGTTAGAGGTCCCATTGACCAGCCTATTCCTCTTCTGGGTATCTTCTTGGAAGAATTAAAAATATCATACCTCAGTGAACATATGTACTCGTGTTTATCGCAGCATAATTTGTCATTGGTAAATCTTGGAAACAGTCCAACAGCCCATCAACCAAGTCAGCCATAAAGAAGGATGAATTTGAGACTTTTATAGTTAAATGGAAGCAACTTCAGGCAATACTCATAAATGAAATAAATCAGACTCACTAGTGTAAACATTGTATTGTCATCCTAGTGTGAGAATTTATAGGAATAAAGTCTAAAATATTCAATAAATACTGTGAAATGGGAAAATTGTTTAAAAGGAAAAAAAGGAGTAGAATTGGGAAAAGGGGAAAGGAAAGAAGGAAAACGGAGAAAAATGCAAGTTAGCAATAATGTTAATGTCTCTTACTTTATTCAAAAGGAAGATTCTTGCTAATTAAATTTTAGAATTAACTGCTTTGAAGATGACAATGTTCAATGTATTTACTCTTTTTATCCTCTACTCTTCTGTTATGAAATTTTGTTTTACAATCTATCCAGAAAATTAAAAATAAAAATTAAGTAAAAGAATAGAGTAGGAACACAGAGGAATATGTGGTGTTAAACACATTTGAGGAATTAATCTACTAATCAAGATTTAATAATCTGAAGACATAAAATATTTTTCTAACTTAAAAATGCTAACACTTAGGCAATAGAGTTGCTTTTATATGTATAGAAATGAAGAATATAAAATGGAAAAGTGTAAAATCATTATTTTTATTATAAAAGAAAAAGACTACATGTTGATGTCCTAACAGAGCACATTTCACATAGTACAGCAAGTAAAATAGAGATTTTGAAGTGATTAAATAGTTTTCATTAATTGCAATCCACATTTTATTTCACTCAAACTAAAAATCCCAGAACACATAGCTCAGTAGCAGAATTTAAGTACAATGACCTGACATTAGTATTTCAAATATTAATCCTCTCCTTCTTGTTATATAATAGCCTTGTAAAGTTACTGCCTCCCTAAGGAGAATTAAAGAACTTTCCTCAAATATATGTTGCCACAATTCACAGTGAACATTATGAATCATTTCAAGGCTAAGTTATTCGGTCCTTTGCAATTGGAGTAAAAAAGAGTTTCTGTATTGATGTTTGTAATTCCATCCAGCTAAAATACCCTAAACCGAATGTCTTAACACACACACACACACTCACTGCACACACCTAAACACTCACAAGCATGCGCAGATATACAGCTCATATTCTTTTTTTTTTTTTTTTTTTTTCACGTGTGGAAGTCCTTCTTTATTAGAAAATAAATACAGAGTCAAACAGGTGGGCCAGCCAACATCTGCAGTTGTGGATGCCAAAAGGAAGGAGTCTGTCTTGCTCAGAATTCAGATTTCCATGAGCTGGTCATTTCCCACAATCACCTCATTTGTTCGTTTAGCTTTGGCTTCGATCCTCTGGCCACATCCAATCAAACAGTCTTTAATGTCTGCTCCCTTCTCAATCACAGCATTGTTGCAGATGACGCTGCCCTGGATGCTGCTTCCTTCTTCCACAGTGACTGAGTTCATGAGAAGGCAGTTGGTGACAGTCACTCTATCTCCTATGAGACAGGAGGAAGCAATGACTGAGTGCTTAACTGATGACTTTTCTCCAACCTGTGTATCTGGTCCAATGAGACGGTCAATTCCAACCAGGTGTTTGCTGGAAATCTGTGCTGATGAATGGATTAGTGATTCTTCAGGACAAAGAACAGGCAGCAATTTGGGCACCTGTCTGTTTGCTTCCATGTAGAGTCCCAGTGTGCTCACTCTAGAGCAGAGGCCTTCTTTCATGATGTGCACGTAGCAGTGTACCCGTGAAGTGGACAAGTCGTCCCATCTATCTCTGCGACAGGCATTCCAACAGGTGTCATAGGGGGCCGAGGTCAGAGTATTGCCTTCTTTTATAAAACTGTAAATATCTAAGGATTTCGGTTCCTTTTTCTTTACATCCTCCTCTTTTTCTTCTTGTCCCTGTTGTGAAGAAGCTGAGGAAAACTGTTTTCTTACTAGGTATGGAATCAGCTCACTCCGGATAGAAGTGAATGAACTATTTTCCATTAGGAAATCTACAACGTATTTTTTCAAGCAGTAGAGATGGGCATCCACGAGGCCTGTATGGAAGTGTATTCTGGGGTACTTCTGCAGGATGGATCCCTTAATGACCAGCTCTTCATCCAAGTCTGCTTCATTAGCCATGAAAAGTAGCCTTTTTCCTGTGCTGTCCACTCCAATGAAGTCACGCTGCTCCACTGTTTTCTTTTTCCCCTTTTGACCTGGAACTGGCTCCAAGCTATCTTGGCCTTTTCTCATTAACATGGCGAGTGATGCATCATAAGCTCTGAAAAGGTCCACAACTTCATGTAAGGCAACATCTGTTATTAAATCACAGCTCAGGACCAACACATCTGTCTTAAGCTTTGGATATATGTAGCACAAAGAATCTGCAGTTCCCATGTCAGCATCATCAGGAATACACACAATATCTGCCTTCATTTTCATCTTGAATTCTGCACTTAAAGCCTTTTGGACATCCTTGATTGTAATCACAATGACTTCTTCAAATCCAACACGCTCAAGCAGGTTCAGTGGGTACCAAATTAAAGGTTTGTTTCCAACTGGAAGCAAAGGTTTGGGAATGCTGGAAGTCAGGTCTGTCATCCGAGATCCCCCACCAACTGCCATCACTACTGCTTGAAATTCCATTATTTATAAACTCAGCTTCCAGCACGTAGCCACGCTCCCAGAGCTCTCTCATATTCTTTTAAGAGTACATGTTTCATAGATCATTATAACTCAAAATGGTGATCAAGTTTAACGTTCATCTTCAGATGGATAAAATACTTACATGTTTAAAATTTTGGACATTGTTTATAATTTTGGATCAAAATTAATGAAAATGAATTAGGTAAATGTACTAAGATGTAATGATGCTTAATTAAACTATTTTGTATGAAACTACATTTCATGTACCCAGCTCATATAATATGCAGTTAGAATTGTATGCGCTAAAATATTTACCAAACGTTATTTAATTACATTCAATTTTAAATAATACCTTTAAATAATGATGATATTTTGCATGAATTTCCATTCAAAATACTCCATAATGCAAAGTGATATTTTTGTAAATATTAATCAAGTTCATTTTAGATTGTATAGTTTTATGTACTTTATTTGTAGATAGAAAGTCAAGCATATTAAAAATCCTTTAATAAATCTTTATACAGAAGCTATAGCGATAAGTGAGGAAAGTAGCAATTATATTTAAATTTATAAAGAACAGAAGTAACAAAAATTTGACAAAACTAGACAATAATATTAATTATATTAATAATTCATGGTTCATTAATTCAGTGTGATTATTAATAAAGTATCATTTACACTATTTAATAATTCATTTTTCTTCCTTTACACTTTTTAACATTTTTATTTTCTGTACCTTTTAATCATTAGTGGAATATTTTAGTTAATTTTTCTAATCTTATACTGCCCAAAACATTAGATCTTTACACTTTTAGTAATTATTTTCAGATAAGGAAAGAATATGGGCGCTACAGTGCTTGTTCTAGCGTGGTTGAGGCCTTGGTCTACAACGATGTTGTGCCTATTGAGCATCTCCATCATCATTAATATGGTGATTGTTATTCTCTTTTTAAGCTTTAATTTGCATATTTCAAATTATCTCAGAAAAACTGCATCATAGCATATTTCCCACTATATAAGTAAAAAACATTTCACCTCTGAAAAATCCTGTTAAATCTTTTCTGTACAGTTTTGGATTTAAAGTATTTTTTTTTCTGGTAAAGCCATAGAGAATGTTCTTATAGGTGCCACTCTTCTGACTATTGAGCTAATATGGAAGAATTACTAGAGTCCGTACCCTTAGTGACATAAATCAGACCACGTGTCCAAGTGTTGTACTATCTCCTTAGTGTGAGAACCTGAAAGAGAAAATGGATCCTGAAGGCTACAGTGGATACTGGGAAATGGAAATGCACTTACTCAGAAGGAAAGAGTTACTCAGTTGAGGAGAAGGACAGGAGAGGAATTGGGGGAAAGAGATTAATCTATGTATGTAAGTGGGGTGGTTTGGACAGCTGTACTGTACATTTCTGCTGGTCTGTGGAAAGAAGTAGGCAATGTTTAACTTGTTTCATCTTTCTTTTCTTTTTTGGTGGTATCAAGGATTGAACTCAGGACCATGAGTTTCCCAGCCAAGACACTTATTCCACTGAGCTATATCCCCAGCACCCTCTTTTTTCTTTTCAATTGTTTGTACTTTTTTCTTCTTTCAGTCACTTGTATATTTCTTTCTTTTTTTCTCCTTCCAATTTTGCATGCATATATCTGGTAATATGAATAGCTGGTTGGAAGGCAACTCTGTGTATTACAACAAATACAGTGAAATTCATATTACTTTGTTAAGTGAAATACTGTATCACTTGTACTTTATTCTGCTTTTAATACTATTTTGCACTCTCTTTATAAAATAAAAAAGGAACTATTATTGAGTGAAAACAACTAAGTTTAGATTTCCTTAGTTTTTGCCTAAGTGCTTTTTGTTTCAGGATTGTTTTCAATTTTCATGTCTCTTTAGCCTCTTATCTAGAACATTTACAGAGAATTTTACTGTTACTGATAATCACCACAGTGTTGCACACTACTATTAAAGAATCTGCAAAATCCCCTCATTACTCATTATTGTTATAACTTTTTCTCAAAATGAGTTCAGAGCTTTGGATGATTTGACAAGAATTTAGATCAAGAACCATTTAACTAACATCTAGAAATACTAGTACCCACTAGATAATATTTTTTATGATGACTATTTCATCTTCCAGAGGTAAGATTTTCTAATTTTTTGTTATAATAGTAATTTTTCATCCTTTAAAATTTATACTTTGCTCCCTGGACAGATTTCACCACATAAATCTTATACAAAAAGACATAGTGCTGGGAAATCCATGCTTTAGATCCAGGAAGAAGGAGGGACATTTGAAAATTTTTTCCATGGGGATTTTTCTTCTGTCCTATGTATTGGTCCATTCAGTTATTAATTAAATGTTATAAACTCTTTGAAAATATTGATTTATTTATAATAAATGCACTTTGAATCTTGGACATTGGATGGCCCAGTTCCACTAGTGTGCCCTATAAATGTATAGATAATGATTTTATTTTTTAGCATTGTCTTATTGTCAGATAGTACAAGATGCTCCAGGCTCAAAGTTTGTTGAAGCAAGTGTGAAAGAGTTGGCATATTCATTGCTGCTAGAGAATCTTGCTTCTATTCCCTCTCAGATTGCAGTATAATAAGCTACATGTATGAAACTAGCCAATGGATATGTATTTATCTATAAATATTTATATATTCATCTAGATTAAGTAAATATCAACTCCTGGGGCTAGGCCCAATTCTATCCTGCTAATACATAAATTCTTCTTTCCTCATTTCCTTGTTTATCTGTGAATTCCCATTCTAATAATGAAATATCTTGATGGTATCGTCTGCAGGAAATATACTTTCTATAATTGGTCCATCACAATCTACATGTATTGCAGTTGAAGAATTAATTCATATTTCCAGAGGAAAATTTTAACTATTAAGCATTAGTATTTCTCTGCAATTTCTTCCTCTTGGGTTTTTGGATGTTAGTTATTTCTGAAGGTAATTGATGACCAGCACCTTTGTCTCCAATGAGGTTAAAATATTTGTAATGCAGTTAGATTATATCACAACATTTCTCACTCAATGCTGTGATTTTTCACAACTTCTTAAAGAATGTTAATTTGCATATTTTATAATGTAGTATGTGCTATGAATTTTAATGTTTTGACAAATTCATAGTGCTACATAGCCACAAAACAAGTCATATAGAAAAGAATCACGCCTTATAATGTTTTCACTACCTACCTTGCCCTCAAGCACATTAGTACCACTTATTTTCTGTTTCTATAGTTCTGCCTTTTGCAAAATGTTACACAATGGCAATCCTATAGTTTACTGTTCTTCAGAATTGTTCCCTGTATTCCACACATGCATTTTAATGCTTCCCTAGCATTTTCTGATTGATTGTTGGTTTCATGTCTTTGTTCGGGCGCTTCCCAGACTGTTTACACGTTCCCTCACTGAAGAAAATCTTGGCTGCTTCCAGTAGTTTTTGCTAGTACAAATAAAGCTCTTGTAAATATTTCAGTCCAGTTTTTATGTAGACATAATTTTCAATTTATGTTATAAATATTTAAGAGAATAATGCTGGACATATGGAAAAACTAAGTTTACTTGGTAAGAAACTGCCAAGCTCTCTTCAATGTTGTGTCATTTTGCATACGACCAGTAAGAAAGGAAGCATTCTTGCTATTCTGTGTTGTTATCTATAGAATACTTTGTTGGATTTTGTTTGCTTGCTCCTTGCTGACATATTTTGGTAGCTTTCTAAATGGTTGGCAGTGTGACAATTATGTTTGTAATGTCCAGTGCCCTACTGAAAAGTGATATTGAGAATCTTCCCATATACTAGTGTTTTCTTTGATAAAATAGTTTTTTACAACTTTTACTTGGACCAACCGAATAGCTCAGAGGATTAAAGAGCCTGCAAGCAGGCACAGGGGCTGGGGGTTCAATGCCTGAGCCTGCCATGCTGGCCATGTAACCAGGGCCTGTTGAAATAGCAATTGAGACTGGGCATGGTGGCATGTACCTGTAATCTCAGCTCTTGGAAGGCTGTAAACAGACAGATCACTATGAATCTGATCTAGTAGTGAGACCCTGAACACCCAGTAGACCCTTCCCGAAAATACAAAAAAAAATAACAATAGTAAAACTTTTATTTATTTTTTATATTCAGGGAAGCTTTGGACTTATAAAAAGAAATGGAGACTGAGAAGTACAGTTTCCATAACCCACTCACCCACTCCTTGTATTTGCACGGCCTTCTTATTTATGATCATCTTAACTGGGGTATGTGGGCATGTGGGCATGTGGGCGTGTGTGTGTGTGTGTGTGTGTGTGTGAGAGAGAGAGAGAGAGAGAGAGAGAGAGAGAGAGAGAGAGAGAGAGAGATACTGAAGAACAAATTCAGGAGCCCACAAATGCTCAGCACAAGATCTACCACTGAGTATATCTCAGCCCTGACCATATATATTTGTTTGTTTCCTTATTATTTGCGTTCTAAGTATTGTTTATGTGACTTGGACAAAAGTCTGTAATTAATATTTGCAAATATTTTATCTTTGTCCTCCCTTGTCATTACACTCTTGTCATAGTGATTGTCATAGCAAATAATTTTTATCTTTTCTAAAGTTCAAATTATCTGATTTTCTTTCATGGTCCATGAAAGTTGTTAGTTTATTTACCTTTTTATTTTTTTCAGTATCAGGGATCCAACTAAGGACCTTGTGCTTGCCAAGCAAACACTTACTCTACTGAGCTATCTTCCTGGACCCGACAGTTTTGGTTTTATATCTAAAGATTCACCCCCAACTGTAAGATAAAACAGAGATTCTCATATGGTTCTAGAAGCTCGAAGATTATGGTATTTTTAAAATGCACTTAGGACAGGGTGTACAGGGTCTACAAGATCTACAGGGTCTCACTACTTAGATTGGACTCATAGTAATCTTCCTGTTTTCAGACTACCAAGTGCTGAGATTATAGGCATGTGCCACCATGTCCAGCCTCAGAGTGCCCCGGGGGCCGGACCAGCATGGCACTCCGGGGATTGAACC